TGATATACAACTATGTTCGCGAGTGCAGGAGGTAGAAGTCCGTGAATCACACAAGATACGGATCGTCAGAGGGTGATCCGCAGGTCGTGTGCTCAGCCATGTCTACAGTCCGGGTCATAACGTCGATGACCGAGAAGGACGATCTGGTGGCGGAGAGAGCGTAGTAGGATGCGAGGGCCTGAATCCAATGCCAATCCATGCGTGGCAACTTGCACATCACTTCTGGTTTCTACCTTCACCTCAGACTATAACCCTCCATTGTCCCGATAGTGGGTAGCTGCGAGAGTCTACATGCTATTTTTGTCAGTGTTGAGGCGCATAAGGCCGTACTCGCTCGTTACTCACCCCACGTCACTCGTCCGGCACCTGCGATCACAGTAGGTTCAACGTCTTCAACGCCTCGGCAGCTGCACGCTTCTTCGCCACATCCTTTGTGGTAGCTTGTCCCTGGCCAATAACCCGGTCATTTACTGTCAATGAACCGACCCATTCGTTAGTCCGTCAAGTAAGCCATCCGGGACGTAGACACTCACATATAGCACTCACACACCATCTAGGAAAGTCCGTTGAACTATTTTTGCTCGTTTGATATAGAAGATCCTGCCGGGTGAAACCAATGTGGTTGTTTAGTCTCACGACATAGTCGACTAGAGTTTGCAGTCTTCAATGAGATACCCAAACAAGACGCTGAAGATGTGACCCACCGCGATCATCAAGAGTGGCGGCGGTCGAAGACTCTGGACTGCGATCACGCCGGATGAAAGAGTTCGGACGCTCGTTAATGGGAGGAGGTGCCGTTAGACCTGGCGGGAGCGTCGTCCACACCCGCACCGCACCATCATGGCTTCCTGTGGCGAAGATATAGGGATCCGCGGTTGGGTTCCAGGCTATACATGTGAGATCTCCGCCTCCGAAGTTTTGGGCGCGGATATGATGGAGTAAAGCGCCGGATTCACGGTCCCAGACGTGGATGTCGCCAGCTATGAACGGTATCAACACACTCACGTAGAGCAGAACATTCGGGATGGAGTGACTTACCCTTTCCAGCGCATAGAACGAGCTGGTCATCCTTGCCACCAAAGTAACTCGGGCCGGCGAAGTCCACCTGGAACTTCGGCATGTATGTATGTAGAAGCGACAGACGAGACGTATACACGGGCGGCAACTCTGCTGCATCAGCCTGTGCCTCCGTTACGTCCATCCGCTGCCTGATGATCTCGAGCTTCCACAATTGCGGCGGGGCCTTGAACTCGTAGCTGACCAAAGCGTATTGTCCACTCTTCGCCATCGTGATATAACGTACTTCCTGTAGGATCGGGACTTGACTGTGAAAGCAGAATCAGATACACCATTCGTTTGAACACGGCAGGGCTGACCGGACCTTTCAATCTCTTTGCGCTCGATGTTATACGCTGATCGAATGCTTGTAAGAAACTTCGATGACCTAATCATATCATCTAAAGTACGCACATATGATCTGCTTCTCATCGCGGCATGTGCTCGGCTTTAATCCCTCATGCGTGGATAACAACTTGCCGACGCCGAGGATGCGTAAGCCTATCCAAGCTTAGCGGAAGCTACTGCAACAGAAAGGACGTGATATGCTCACCGTCAGGCGTGACGGATGCGCCGTGAATCTTTAATCGATCGAAATAGAACGTGTCCACCTGCTTGCCCGTGAGGTCCACAAGGGCAACACTGCCGCCCTCGACCGACAAAAATGCTGCATAAGACCGATCACTTCGAGTTTCTGGCTCATCAACAATCGCGTCTTCGCACCTTCGCCTCCGGGCATCCAGGTTATAGATTGCACCGTGGTACCACGTTCTATGGTTCGCGTGCACACACCAGTCTATACGGGATTTGGGCATGAGCATGAAGGGCAGTATGAACGCATCGCAGACGCACCTCCGTCCAAACCTTTATACTCCGATTCAGCTTCGTGAGCAATAGATTGCCGCCAGGCGACCAGGCGACCTGCCCAACGAATCCAGAACGATGCGCAAGCGTCCGATGATGCCTGAAGGGTGTCCCATTTTGATAGATCACGCTCGTACGGTCCCAGGAGCTTGTGGCGAGAAACTTTCCATCAGGGCTGAACTGTAAGTGTCGCACGAGAGCTGTATGCCCCGCGAGAACTTCCGTTGGTTCCAGGTTACGCAGCTTGGTGACGAGCGCGCCGACGCGGCTCGCGCGTGGTGCAGGCGGGTACAGCGTGTCTTTGCGATCGGGGTGAGTAGGCTCGAAACCGTGACGATGCGTTGCGTACGGGGTGGACCTTTGCGGCAAGCGGCCTGCATCATCATCACGGAGCGCACCGCACTCCTCAGTCGCGTAAGTCCGGGAGAGGAAGGGGTAGGAGGCATGAGCGTCCCGGGAGCCGTCGCTGCGCCTTCTTCATCCATAGTACTGGATATCGACTCGCCTGAAGACGAAGAAGAGGGGGCGTACGGCCTTGAGGCGAGTTTCTCGCGAACCCATGCATTAACCCTGCGTATGCGACGAAGAGCCTCTGATGCAGCCCTACCCGCTTCGCTCTGTATGCTATTCAAGTGACGGGCTACAAGCCGGAAGAGATCGGAATGGAGGAATCTGTCCCAGGTGTCGTCGAGCATGTCTGAGAGCCATTTCGTTCCCTTGTGTCGGCTGAAGGCATATCGCTCGAAGGCAAACCACGCCGACACGGCCATCAAGCCGAAGCTATTCAAGGCCGTTAAGATTGTCGTGATCGTGGATACTATCCGGTTCTTGAAGTTATGTTCAATGAGGATGTAAGGTACGAGGGTAAAACTACGCACTTGGTTCGAAGAGTACGAGAATACGACCAGACCAACGGAGAAACAAGTAATAGACAAGGCCAGAAAGACTAGTGGAGAAAGCTTGATCCAGATGAAAACCCACCCTGGCACACGATGACGGGGAGAGCGGCTGCACGGCGATGCTCGTTAGCGTATGTGCTGAGCTATAGGGAGCACACACATACTACATAGCCCGCCTCCACGTCAGCCCAAGCAGCGAGTTAACGGCGGCAGCTATAGATAACACCAACGAAGTGAACCAGAACCCATTGACAGTGTCAGCTGCCGAAGCACCCGTCGTCTCGAAGGAGAACTGCAGAGTTGTCGCCGTGACGGCAGAAAAGAAGGTCGCCACGGTCGACAGATTGAGCAAGTTATTGGATGCATGTTTTTGTGCGAAGCGGATCGTTGGGATACCTATGGGCTGAGGTTAATCTCATAGTCGGAGTCGGGGCAACGGAGAGGGACAGACAGACCAATCTCCACGAACATGGAAAGGGCTTGAGTGGTCGACTCAATATGGTCGCCCATCTCCTCGGTAAGGTCGTGCAGGTATCTTTGGACGGCTGGATGTCTGAATTGGCCTGATGAAAGTATCAGCATGATTGAGAAGTGCATCAAGATAGACCGTTACCTTCGTAAGACCTCAAGCAAGAAGCCCAATACTAAGCTACTGTCAGTATGTATATATGAAGTGGTAGTTATCAGGCTGGTTATACCTTCAGATCTCCCTCGAAAGCAACGATTGAGGCATTCAAAGCTTCATCGGTGAACTCCGGAAACTCATTGAGGCAATACAAGAATGTGACCACATCCTGCGCAAGTTTCCTGAACTGTTCGGGGAACTCATCCCGTTCCGGGGCTTCGACCACGACGGGTCTGCGTATACGCGGCGGCGGATTAGACTTTGTGCGGTCGAGAGTAGGTATGGCGGGTTTATGCAGGGCTTCTTTCGCTTCGCGATGAATCTTTCCAGGGAATAGATCGGCCGCGTTCTCGTGAAAGAGGTATCCGATCATGGTCAGGCGCTTGCGGAGGTGGTATGTCGAGGACATTATACCGACAGAAGAGCCCAGCTGACGCGCCGAGTTGCTGAAGTTGCGCAGCTCCTTGTCGAGGTTATCGAGCTTCCTGGACAAGCCGCGATGTGTAGTTAGTTCCATGTCAAAGCAAACACTGAACCTACGCACCTCGTGAAAAGATGAAAGGCCTCTGCGCCAACCTCTTGGAGGTGTTCCTCCACAGTAGCTACATGGATGATGCATCATGTTCTGGACGCGGTGATAGGCCTTGTGTCACTCACGGACGTCTTTGCTATCCGCGAAGCTCGCTTGTTCTTGGTTGTCTCCCCCTGAACCCGTATGTCAACAAGGGCACCACGCTAGTCGTACGAGTTGTGCACCTTGCCCTAGATCATCGTCGTTCAGTTCTTGCAACGCGGTGAGCAGAGTCAGTAACGTCTGCTTCCGTTTGCTGGTTGTCGCGCCCGAGGGCATGTTGGTTGGATTTCCGTTAGCGAGGTTATTAGGGAAGGCTGATTCCGGAAGACGATAAGTCATAGCAAAGAACGGAGAACTTTGGCACCCACTTGATATTGGCAGAACTATGCTTGCCCGTATCGGACCTCCTACAATGGCTTGAGATGGTGGCAGGACGAGTGTAAGTGCATGGGGAATGTTGAGAACCCATGGATGTACTTGGAATGCGGAGAGGCGGTCCTCCGCATGTGATCCACGAGTACTGTATGGCGACTATTTCTATTCGTCGACCACTGTACGCATGAGTAGCAAGAAATCCTGAAGCTGTGCTGCAAACGTTTCACGTATCGCCCGAACCTTCGTGCCGCATACAATGCCTTGAGAGCACTGAACAAGCACGTCCCAAGTCTTCACGCAGCCCTAGGACAAGGGTGTTTGTGCGCTTTGAAGCGCTTGAAGAAGCAGATGCGACGCTCATGATGGTGGCGGCATGCGAGATGGTTGCCGGAAGAGAAAGGCGCAAAGTTCAAACTTTCGCAACGGCAGACGCCGCGCCAGTCTCCTTCGCAAACGGGAATGATGGAGAGAGTGATGCATCATAACGCCGCGCTCTTTCGTATTCACGCGCGTCCCACCTGTGCAACAAGTACTGTAACGATGAACAGAACAAAAAAATGACACAACCCTTCACGCTCTCGCGAGAAGGGCTGTGCCGGGATAGACTTGACAACTGCGAGATTCGAACTCGCGCCTCGAAAGACTAGATAAGGAATGGTTCCTGATTCTAGCGCCTTAGACCACTCGGCCAAGTTGCCTTAAAGAGTTGACTGTGTGAATACATTATAAGTACACAAAGCTCCAGTCAACTAGCCTTCGTCCTGAAGTCGAAGTGGCAACACTCACGAGTCCGGCACCTTCCTCTCGGATAGTCATGTCTGGACAACCAAGCTATCCGCGTTCTAACCTTCTTGTGCTAGCTTTCAACTCTGTTCAAGCTCTTCTTCCCACTACAGTCATCGACAAAGCCGAAGCCTATCTCGACGTTCACCGGATAGACGATGCAGTAGCCCTCGCGGACGAGCAGCGCAAGAAGCTGCAAGCTCAACTCACTATCGACGCCGGAGAAGCTAATGCGTTACGATACGTGCACCTACGAATTGGTTTCAAATGTATGCTGGAGACGCGCTTCGAAGATGCCGGCTACCATTTGTTCGAAGGAGGACTCGACCCGCGGCTGCTCATCTCGTATTACCCGGACTTGCGAGGGTCTTTACTTTCGGAAGAGGATGACGTGGAGTTATTCGAGGGTGTGGCGGATAATGTTGTACCATTTGACTCTGTTGATGATATCAGTGCGTATCATTTCTCTGGACTGGCTTCTATGTTCTTTGGAGCTCATTGCAGTTCATTACCCAACTTCGCCACATCTTTATGCTTGGTGCCCGTCTTGCTTGATCCCGCTCACGCCGGGCTGACTTATAGTTTCCGCCGACCTAGTCAGGAATTACTCTCCTTTCCTGGCCCCGAACACGCGCTCGGCGCCACCTACGGCGGAACTGCGTCGAATACTCACCACGGCGGCCAATGAGATGCTGGAGAGCTTTCTACGCAAATGGAGGAGAGTCCAGGGAGACGGGAGCGCCCATGAAGTACGAGTGGTGAGTGATTGGTGTCTCATGATAGTTATGCTTGACAGCTTCTATGTCTCTTCATGTACATATGAGTTGCTTCCAATGCCATTCATTGCTTTGATCTTGCCGTGAGGACATGTTCCTAATTCAAGTTATCTTAGATCGTGGACACTGTACTAGCGAAGATCTTCGCGCTCAACGAGAAGACGACGGATCTGTACGCGCTTCTAGGCGAACAGCCCGACTTGGTACTACCCGAGCTAGAAACCGTCTTCATATCCTCCGGACAGTACAATGCATTGTGCAGTATGTACCAAGCAAGAGGGATGGACGAGAAGCTGTTAAACGCGTGGGCAAGGTACAGTGACAGCCTTCGATTCCACTGATTGCGTTCTGACACATTCCAAGGATTGCAGAAGGCGAATGGACAGATCCGGAAATCCCAGACCCTTTGTCGAATATGTTGGCGCTCTTGACGGCAAGACGAAGTCGTGCCCTCACACAACAATGGGGAGTTTGGCTAGCAGCCAAAGATCCCGAACGCGCTTTGAAGGTACATTCTTATTCACGTCACCCCTGCAACGCGCACGCATATACTCATGCGCCACAGCTCTTAACATCTCAAGGCGCAACACGAGGCCGCAAAGCCTCTGTCGACGCCGATCTCGCTACCCTCTCTCAAATCCGCGACGCAAACCCTCAAGCAGCCATCCAATTCCTCGAACACCTCGTCCTCCAAAAACGCTCTTCCGATCCGAAACTGCACACCGAACTCGCTCAATCCTGCGTCACCCAGGTCCTCGATGCACTCGCGGACGAAGGTACAGCGAAGCTCTGGCGAGCCAAAGCGGCATCATACGCCTCTTCAGCGCCGAGCAGTACACCTTTCCTGGCGTACTTCGCATCCACCACACCTGACTCTTCCACCAAACGCGCTCGACTACGCACAGCGCTTTTCTTACAAAGCTCAGCGCACTATGACGCCCAAGCAATCCACGACCGGCTCCTCCCACATGCACAAGCCCTGCCCCTCGAAATGTCGATCGTAGAAGGGAAACTCGGATTGGACCACGAGGCTCTAACCCGCCTCGCACATACCCTACGCGATAACTCATCCGCAGAAGCATATTGCACAGCCGGCCGTCGCGCTCTCCCGCCCAAGATCGCGAGGATGTTGGCAGAGCGCGAGGGTCTGGGTGCGTGGACGCTTGGAACGGCTGATTCGGTGCCGGCCGATTATGGGAGGGATGCGAAGAGGTTATTGAGGATGTTGTTGGACGTGTATATTGATAGTGGGAAGGAGCATGCTGCTGCGGCGCTTATGAACTCTCAAGCGGCGACTTTTGACGTTGCGGATGTACTTGAGCGTGTACCGCCCGAATGGCCCTTACCGTCTGTCGCGACGTTCTTTTCGAGAGCGCTTAGGAGATCGTTGCATGAGAAGCACGAGGCGCTCATTGTCAAGGGCATCGCTATGGGCCAGAATCTTGCCGTGCGTCTTCCTCTCTTTGTTTCATATACAGGGCGTGGGGTCTGACTCGGACTTGTAGATCACAGACGAGACTCACGAGATCCTCCGCGAACAAGGTTATCTGGTCGAAGAAGCCTTCGATGATGAGGGCGGCGACAGCGAGAAGGCACTCCCACCGCCACCGGATACAGATGAGGTTCTGGACGAGAAGGCTGGACTGAACATCCCGCGGGCGAACGGATATGGTGCAGGACAGGGTGTGGCGGCCGCTTCGTGGGACTCTGCCGCGACGTATCCTGACGCTGATGGTCATGACTTCAGGTAGCGCGGTAGTGGGAAGTCGTTGCTTCATCTTCCTGTTTTACGAGCAAGACTTGAGCCACACTCGTTACTACTCAATCTCACTGCAGACTTCTCCTTAGTTCGACTGCCATAATGCGCGAAGTTCTCATAACAGGGTTCCCAAGTTGCCGACACGACACCAGCGTTGAACTTGCTACTGATACATTTTCGCTGTCCATGATCTCTCGTCCCTTCCCAAGATAACTTGCCACCACTACCACACATCCGCATCCTTGAATGTCGGTGGCTCTGTAGGAACCTCCCCTTGCCGACTAGGCAGTTGCACTACCCCGTGCGTCCCCAAATCCAACATCGCGTCCTTTTCCGCGTCGGCGCCATTGTCGAAGGTTAGAGTCAGTGCTCCATTTGCCTTCACTCTCTCGCGCAGAACGCGCGGTCCTCTCGCACTGTGTGTTTTATCAAGCGCAACCAGGATGAAGATGAGAAGCGGATATATCACCTGAGCGAATGTATGAGCATATGTCCATTCATGACCAAAGCAATGATACTCACTGTGATCTGTGCCATCGCGGCGTCGAGGTGATCGACGGTGGTAACATAGTCAAGGGCCGAGTTGGTACCTATGAGTGGAGCGGCTTGCAGAGGAATGTAGAAGTTCAGAATGTAGAAGCCCTGTGTACGTTCAATCCTCAGTACTGCTATGAGTCGTCATTGTGGATGGAATGAACGACGCGTACCCAAAGCAGCGTATAGGCAATACCAGAATCGATCAAGAGTTCCATGAAGCGCTCCAAGAAGGTCCGACGATTAGCCGTACGGGCATGTGTAGCAAGTTGACGCCTGTGCAGCCTGCTCCCTACGTGAGTTTGAATCATAGGTTGGACCAGATCTTGGGGCGTACCATGTTCTAAGGGCTACGAGGGACGTGGCACAAACATTACTCGCAAGTGACAGATACACAGCAGCGAGGCCGAGCTGATTTTGCCCGAATGTCACCACTCTCTCTTGATCTTCGTAGTGGAGTGGAACCCCAAACCCGCCGGCAACTACAATGATGTTTGCAAGGGTCATGCAAAAGGTCGCGAGGATCAGAGTGGCGCCAAAAATCAGCACGCGCCGCGACTTGTCCCACACGATGTACGTCCGCCATAAGACGATAGTATCGCTCAATATTGTCTACAAGCAAAAGTCAACACTCGTTGACAGATCCCAGTCAACTCGCGAGATAAGTGCGCACGTTAACAGAGAGCATGATGAGTATGACACTCGATGGTGCATTGTCGTACACCTCGGCGCTGCCATACTCGCCGGTGGACAACATGTGACTTGCCCAAGCAAGCGTGTCCAGATATTGTGCCAGACCAAGTGACCAGTGAACCAACGATGTGGTGACCATGAACGTAGCGACCGCCGGGATAAACATGTTTGCGAATACCCTCGAACGCATGGCTCTAGTTTGAGCATGTCAGGGAAGGCTTTCGCTCATTCAAGTTGACTTCATGGCACAACTCACGGAAGGCTAGCATAGAGCATGCATCCGAACAGGGCGGCAGTAATCCCTGTGCATATATTCAACATGAATATGGCATCTGCCCCTTGCCATCCTCACCCAACAGCACTGTTTCCGTGATCAATGGTTCCAGCAAGGACAGCAAAACTGAGAAATACTGCCAGGACCGGTGGACATTACGATCAGCGTCTTGCGCTATGTCTAGCAGCGGCGAGCCTCCATCGCTGTTGTAGACAGAGTCATAGCTCGATGGCTCGGGCAGTCCCATAAACCTGCATTCCGAGCGGTACTAGTCAGTTCAGAGAGGCCAAGGTACATCGATGAACTCAAAGATGACCTGCCTTCCAGATAGCAAGTCTTGAAGGTGTCGCAGCAATAGTGCCCACTGTGCGATATACCCTCCGTATGCCAACCATAGTGCCCCTATAAGCAGGCGGCGACCCAGTCGTCGGCCCCTGTGGATCCTCCAGCGCAGTCGTGACAAACAGTCGACGCCTAGATGTACCGCATGATGTATGACCCGAACAAGATCTTGACTGTGAGCGCGCCTGCATAGTCTGTTCAAAACTTTCGGGCGAGCAAGCACTCAGTCTCATTCATACCGAAGAAGAAACTTTCCAGTAAGATAATAGGTACGACGGAAGAGTCGGCAGCTCGGTGTACAGTCTCCAGTACAAAGCTTTGCTGGGTACGATTGAGGGCATCGGGGAGGGCCTTCCAGCGGATAGGGTCCTGAATCACGGGCAGTACATTAACTGGCGGTAAAGAGTCCTGAGCTGTTGACGGTACTGAGCTTACAGTCGCTGACATGATGTGCAAATTGCGGAGGATGGGTGAGCACTATTCTCGAGCCGGGCTCAAAGTCCCGGCTTTATACAGTTTCGCGGTCCTGTAGTGATG